CCCGCCCCCCCCTCCTCCCAATCCCACCTGGTCATCCAGCGGCTCGTCGTTTCGAAGGAAGTTTTCAAAGGAGACGCTCGGCTGCCACGGATCGTTCTGGATGTAGAGGCTGCTGCTGGTGTCCTCGGAGTCGCGCCGCCGTGTCACGGCTACTTGGTACCTGCCCAACGGGGAGCACCGACAGCGGGGTCACACTCGGGAATGGGGTGGGGGCACACCCGTCCCTGGCCACGCCTCATGCCAGGAGCGAAGGCGCCCCTGCCTCCCGCCCTATGGCTCTCGTCGTTTGGGGCGCAGCCGAGGGGTCTTCCCTGAGGGCGGTGTCTGCCACGGAGAGCGGCAGGAGAGGGAGCCCGGGCCCCCCCTTCCCCAAGGGGGTGGCTGGGGGTGGCGGAAAAGCCCAGCCTCTTGCTGCTGGTTCTGCTTCAGGGCCCACACAGGGGCCCTTGCCGAAGGCGCCCCTCCGCCCCTTCAAAGGGGTGCCCCCGCCCCGTCTTGCCACGATCCGGGCCCACCTGCTCCAGGAGATGCCGGCCTCCTCCTTCCAGTTGGGTGGCAGCACCCGGTTGGCGTGGGAGACCAGCTGGATGCGGTAGCTGCGCGGGTGCCCCCAACGGTTCTGCTGGCGGGGGTTGTAGACCATGAGGTAGCGAGGGAGAGGCTTGCCGAAAGGGAAGGCGGCTTGGCGCTCCCGCGGGCGCTGCCGGTGCTCCACGTGTGGCTGCACCAGCCGGTGGCGCGGGTCCCAGGGGAGCGAGATGTTCTCCAGGGCCATTTCCAGCGTCTCGAAACTGTTCCCAGCGCCTGCAAGGAGGAATGCGGACGAGAGGACGGTGGTGGCCGGAAAAGGGGCCGGCTGGTCAAGGAAGAGCAAGACTGCCGCCAGACGCAGGGAGCGCAGGGAGAGGGTCCGAAGAGCGGCCGAAAGAGGTGGCGCGGTCAGCAGCTCGACAGGGGCGGGCCCTCGAGTCACCCGCGCTGTTTATCAACAGGTGCTCTCCAGCAGGCTTGCAATCGGCAGCTGTCAGGTGTGTTTGGGGGGTGGGGAGTGGGGTGGTCGCTGCCTCATGCTCTGGGACCTCCATGGCACGACATACACCAGGAGCAGGGGCCCTGTGTCGCGCGCTGAGCAGCTGCCGGGCTCTGTGTGCCCTCCCCCAGGGGTTCTCTGTGGGGAAACAACCCCCCCCCCAGCAGGGAATCCTGTTCTGTGTTTGAGCCTGTGTGTGCGAGGGCCACTGGGCTAGTCAAGCCCAGAAAAGGGCCTCGGCAGGAAAGCAGGGGCGCATCCAAGCGGGTGGGGGTGGGGCTCCTCTGGAGCCGAAGAGCCACCCGCTCCTTCCAGCCACGGATCCGTTCCTCATCAGGGAGAACCACCGAGAGACCTCCTCGTTCTGTGGCTGCTTGCCCCGCCTGCCTCCTGCCCGTGACAGAAGCTGGGAGGGGCGGCTCAGGGCAGGAGGCCGCTTGCTAGTTTGGGAGCCCGGCCTGCTGCTTTCTGAACACCCTGGGATCCGGGGACCCACCTGCCACATCCAGGTCGATCTTGTAATGCACCAGATGAGTGTGGACATTGCCCAGCACATGGGCCTGGATACGGCTGCCGTATCGCCTCCCGCCGGGCGTGTAGAAGGTGGCATGGACGTAGCCGGTGGCATGGACTTTGGTCTCCAGCACCCCATTTGGGTAGAGAAGGAAGTCCCAGATGTAGTCGTAGTTATACACGGTGGAGGTGGTGCGCAGGACGAGCGCATGCCCTTCCAGGCCCGCGTAGAAGTTGTAACCACCTTGGAAGTTGCTGTTGAAGTGGCGCCTGATGGGCACTCCCGTGGGCATCTCGAAGATGCAGATGGCGCGGCGGTAGCGGACCGGGCCGGGGGCGTCGTACTGGTGATAGACGTCCAGGAAGGTGGCCACCTCTGGGCAGTCGACTCCAGGGGCCAGTTCGTGCGTGACGGAGCCCATTCCCCACCCGACGTCGATGTACTTGGTCTGCATGGCTGCAGGGGTGTTCCCCCCATAGAAGGCCACGGCCTCTTGCACGCTCACCTCGTAAGCAATGCGCTCGCCGTTGAAGCGCACATCGAAGAGCTGCAAGCCCGTGGAGGTGCGCAGCCGGAAAGCTAGGCTCCAGCCGCTGTATTCCACCAGGTTGCCGCGCACGGTGTAGCGGTGGCCCTGGGTTTCGCACACTTTGGCCCCGTGCGCGTCCGTCGGGGGACCGGTGGTGAACTGGCCGCGGGGCATAAAAGTGGAGTAGAGGCTCTCCTCCGGGTGCGGGGGCAGCGGGACGGTGGCCACCGTCCCCTGCGCGTAGCCCTCGGCCAGCTCCTCGGGACTGCTGAAGTACCGGCCGTTGTACCACACCTTCTGCACTGTCCAGAGGCTCGGGTCGAGCTCCCGGTGGTCGACGAGGATTTCCAGGCCCACCGGGTGCAGGAAGTAGCCCTCCACGAAGCGCTGCAGCATGACCCACGTTCTCCGCTCTCCGGAGGCCAGGCCGCGGGGCGCGATGTCGGTGAAGGTCAGGCAACGGTCTTTGCACTCCCCCAGGCCGAAGCCCGCCACGTCCTGCAGAAACGCCCGCAGGGGGAGCAGAAACTCCTCCAGTTTGCGGTAGAGCGCGCGGTACTCCGCCTGGGTCATGGGCCTGGCGGTGTAGGGCACGGGCCGCCCATAAGGCCGGTAGAAGTCTGGCCTGGGCAGCAGCCCCACCACGTACTCCGTGACGTTGGGCTGGGCCCCGGCACCGAAGAGCACCACCGCCCGGGCTCGGCGCCGAGGGCGGGAGCCCCCCGAGTCCAGGTAGCCCAAAGCCTGGCTCTTCTTGGGGGACAGAAGCTCCACCAGCAGGAGGCTGTTCTCAGCTAAGCCCAGTTCTCCCCGGCTGGGCCGGAGCCCCAGTTCCGGGCGGCCGAGGAGGAAGTCCCGGACCGCCTGATGCTCCGCCGGAGTCAAGTCGGAGAAAATGGAGGCTGTTTCCTGGGATGGGGCGGGAGAGCAGGATTCTACCCAGGCCAAGAGGCTGAGGGTCCCCACCATCATGCGGAGCACTGGGGAGGCAAGGGGCCCCATCCTGACGGCAGGCCCTGCCAGAGGAAGTGGGAAGAAGTCAAGAGAAGGGGCCTGTAAAGGACAGCCAGCACTCCTGCTCTGGTTTGAAAATGCACGCGGGCGCGCGCGGGCGCACACACACACACACACACAGAGGGAGGGAGGGAAAACACGCACATACAGAGTAACTTTTTTGACCGTGAGGCACAAGAATGGCTCTAGGTGCCCAGCTGGTGATGCAAAAGGGATGACAGAAGAAGAGGGCAACAGGTGGTGGGAAGGCAGACAGCTTGCACCCCCACCAGAGACAAATGGAGGTGGGGGGGCTCAGCTTGGTGTCAGGAATCCCCAGCACATGCCATCCACGCACCCAAGCACAAGCTACTAACTTTCTGCCAGGGCTGGAAAAACGGGGGGTGAGTTGTGGGGGTGGACCAGGACTCTTTAAGGACCACTCGAGGGCACCTCTCACCTGGCCAGAGCCGTCGGGAGCAACGCCGGGAACTGCCGTCTCCCTTCTCAGGAGGGCCACAGGTTCCCTGCCCTTGAGGGAAGGGCCCTGGGGACCGTCAGAACATAAGGTAAAGGTAAAGGTTCCCCTTGACATTGTTAGTCCAGTCGTGTCCGACTCTAGGGGGCGGTGCTCATCCCGTTTTCAAGCCGTAGAGCCAGCGCTTGTCCGAAAACAGTTTCTGTTGCCACGTGGCCAACGTGACTAGGGAACGCCGTTTTACTTTCCCATCGAGGGGGTACCTATTTATCTACTCGCATTTTTACATGCTTTCGAACTGCTAGGTTGGCAAGGAGCTGGGACAAGCGACGGGCGCTCCCTCCGTCGCATGGATTCGATCTTATGACTGCATGGTCTTCTGACCCTGCAGCACAGAGGCTTCTGCGGTTTAGCCCGCAGCACCACCACGTCCCTTGCATAAAGGCATCTGGAATTTGGAGGCCCCTTCCTTTGAAACCTGGAGTTTATATGTCCCCATCATGGCTTGTCACCTGCAATGGACTTTTCCTTCCACTTTTCAAGGCCTCTAGGCTATATGCCATCACCTCATCCTGTGGCAAGGAGTTCCACTAACCACACGCTGGGTCAAGAAATATTTTCTTGGTCTGTTCTCAGTCTCCCAACACTCGATTGGAGTGGATGTCCCCTGGTTCTGGCATGGCGTGAGAGGGAAAAAAGCTTCCCTCGCTCCACTCTACCCCTGGGACAGGGAAGTCTAGGGCTAGAGGTGGAAGGATTCCCCCGCCCCCCAGCCCAGCCTCTGCAGCAAGTGCCAGCGCTCCGCCTTGGAACAGGTGACGTGGTGGTATTTTTAGATAGGAAGGCTGTAGGCAGGCAGGTCGCTTTTTTCAACCTTGTATGGGGCTCTGCCATCTGAAGGGTGATGGAGACGGTGAGACGGAGTTCTGGGTGGGCTGCTTCTGAACACGTGCAGAGTGCTTTTCCTCGGGATTAAGTAACGGCTGACAGCCCTGCCCCCCTTTGCCCAGGAGAGCCCGCAGGTCAGAGTCTGTCAGTGGAGCAAACGGCCTGAAAAATAGGCAAGGCAGCGAGGGCGGGGGGTGGGGTGGGGAGCAGAAGCCCTTCTCTGGGGTGGCAGGCAATGAAGCAAGGGAAGACCGGGCCGGAGGGAGGGACCCCGTATGTCCTCCCTGGGGTTTCACTCTTCGCTCTCCCATGCCCTAAACCGTGCACAAATAACTGGTGCTCTTCCGTGGGGTTCATTCTGGGGGGGGCTTAGTGCCCCCCAAGCTGACATAACCTTTGCCTTAGCGCACACACACACACACACACACACACACACACACACACACACACACACACACACACACGCCGCCCCCTATAAGCCCAACTGTCAGCAACCCACCCACCCCAACAGCAGCCTGCTGCTGCTCTTGGCTGAATGCCCTCCTCCCTGCTTGATTCTCCCCTCCCCAACACAAATCACCCTGCAATGCCCGCCCCCCCCAGCCTGTGCCTAACTGTGACCCCATGGGTGACATCCCAGGGACTGGGCAAGGAGTCCAGATCTCTCTCCCTCAGAATGCCCTGACAGGTGCCGCTCACCTGGTGGCCCCTGGCACACGCGCGTCTCTGGCAGCCGGCCCTCCTGGATGCCGGGGAGGTTCCCAGGCACGGGCTGGCAGCTGGGTAGGGATGCTGGGGAGCCGGGAGCCAAGGCCGGGCCGGGCCCAGTGCCAGCCAGAGGCCGGGCCGGGGCTCCGAGATCAAAGAGGGAGCAAAGGTCCTTTAAGAAAGCCAAGGGTGACGGAGAGGGGCTCCGCGCCGGCCGGGAGGAGGCGGGGAGG